TCATAAGATAACTTATCAAATGTCATCCTCTTTCAAATTAGGGTTCCTCCATGACAAAGTTTATAAATAGCATGTTCAGCCTATAATATATGATAAATATCTCAATTATGTTATTATCTAAACTTAAAACACAACAATTCAATTATTCAAATACACATATATAACACTCTTAATAATATTTCAATTCATATAAATCCTATTATCATCAAGTCATAGACTTCATGATAAAACGTAGTTATTTCACCAAAAATAACTCTGTTAATTGAAAACATCAATAATTTCCAAAAAGCAGAAAGCTAACTATTATACTTGAATCGTGTGATTGCATATGAGTTACTCGTTGAATTACAGCGCTTTCAATAAATTAAGGAGACCCCAAATTTAAACCTCAGACTATTGAAATAAAAATTGAATTACACAATTAATCAACCTCCTTCTTTGTCGTTTTAGACCAGACCTATTTAGATTGATATTCAAAAAATACGCATACAAATGAATAGAGTAAATGAGCTTATCAGTCAAGACGGTTTTGCATAAATTCATCTTGTATTTCCACCTCATTGGGTGAAATGGAAATTTCATCGTGCCCATCTACTTCATTTTGATCTTCCTGCTCTTGATGTTCTTCAGTGATCTCGTGATGACCTCGACTACGAGAAGTGAATTCTGCAAGAGTTGGCATTCTTTGATGGTACGAGACATTCGGGGAAGGAGTTCTGCTGTTGCTCCACGTCGTGGTGGAGTCATCTTGTCGAGACTGTGAGTAGGGTTGTTTCTTCATCTTTTGCTTCACGTCTGCATGCCATTGTTTAATTGCATGGACTGTGTGTTGTTCCAGTATTGCAATCTTATATTGAGAACCCATCTGATCAATATACACGAAGAACAAGTTTTAGTTTGTGCTAAGGAAATGTGATCTTGGAAACTACTAAGGAAGTTCTTCAAATTGTGAGCTTTCAGTTGTTAAGTACTTTGATTGACATTCCAAAAATGATGAATATTTCAGATATAAATTTTTATGATGAAAATAAATTACTGAAATGAACCATAGCATAAATTCTCATTACACCCTCTCGATTTAATTCAGGAGGTAAGGTTCTCAATTTCTCCACCCGCCTATTTAATTTTGATTACTAATAAAAAAGAATAGGAGAGTCCGTCTAGGATTTCACAATGTTTTTCTAAAAAAAAATCATAGGATAAATTCGTTAGTTATTGTTGAACTGAAATAATTGTCTACAAGATTAATCTGTCTCTTTCACACTATATGTGAAACCCGTGTTATTTTTGACATTTGCATAATTTTCATAAATAGGTTTTGCTGATACCCAAACTATGTATCTTTGTTTAGTTAATATAATATTAACTAAAACCTAATCGACTGTATATAGAAATGGGGAGAAGAGAGAGATCGACTTGCAAACCTGAGTGACAAGTGCATAGAGAGGAAGTGTTATGTAGCTGCAAAGGACTTGAACCATAACCCTGGAAATGTATGAGAAAATTTTCAAATTTCAAATTTTGACATATTCAATAATAAAGGAAAATGAATTTTCATTGAATCCTTTTTTCCATTTCGTTCGATCCACAATACTTCTAGGGGAAGATGGTCGAATAGAAATAAAACAATAGAAAAACATAACAGACAGAGATGCTCTCATATAAACTTACGCTAATACCACCCTGATAACAATAATCTCCACGTTTTCGTGGTAGCAAGATTTAATCCCAAATTGCCACTGTATTTTCATATCAAACCAAAAAGAAAGTAGTATCAGCTTAATGTCATATGGGATGAACGATGAAGTAAGGAACTGCGCAGAAGGTAATGAATTGTACCGTAACCCATATGAAGAATGCGAATTCAAATGCATTCTGCATCAAACACATGAAAGTTAAGCCAAAATTCCAGTCCATAAATAGACTACTTAATTTGTATGATCAATGCAGATTTATTACTGTTGAACTCTAAATTTGAATATCTTATATGTCCTCTTAACAATTTAAGCTTTCAATATAGTGGTTGAACATGATATTAAATCACAAGAGGTTGTCACATTTGTTGAGAATTATAAATACTAATTCTATTCCACCTAAAGCAATCAATTCAAAGGAAAAAACAAATAAATGCTCGAGAATATGCAAAATTTATAAAGATTCGTTACTATGTCCTCTCCTATCACTATAATAATTCACTATGACAAAAAAAGTTGACAAGAGAAAATTGCACTCCTATTTTCTTTAGCATCTCTTTCTTTCATTTTGATGATAAAATAATAAAGTATAAGGACGACTCCCTATCTATAGGCCCTTGTTTGAGCCCCATTATTCGGTAAAAATAAAATTTGAAATAGTGATTTTTTTGGAGAATGCGTGATTGAAAAGTAAAAAAATATTTTAAATTTACATGTAAAATTATTTTATTTAGAGAATATATGTGGTTGGTTGAAAATTAGTTTGAATAAAAACGTATAAATTGAAAAGGAGGCTTAAACAAGGGCTAATAAATTCAGGCAAAACCAAATTATACAAGGACTCTGATTAATAAAATTTTAAAAGAATATAAATTGTAAACTGTCGTTAAATTAAATTTTGATTCTTCTATTGCCCTTCCAATCCCCACAATGACCACACCACAGAGGTCAATCCAAGACTAGCTCCACGAAGTGACAATAATTAGGATAGGCAATAAATTAGTCTCCACAATTTAATAGCATTTGATTAAAAAAAAAAAAAAAAAAAAA